TTTATCAAAATAAAACAAAGATCCCCTAAAACTGTCAAAGTAGAAACTTCGTTTGTTCGTGTAGCCAATTAATTGGGTAACATTATACTCTTATTAAAGGTGAATCGATTTGCGGTTTACGCTTTGATTGCCGGCGCGTTGCTTCGACTGATCGGTACGATTCTCTCGCCAGGCGCGGGGAGGGCGAGTTTCGGCGCGGTGATGGTGAGGACACCGTCAGAAGACAGGCTCGGTCTCACGTGGCCTATGTCGTAGCCCTGTGGCAACGCGTATCGACGTACAAAATGTCTCGAGATGTATCCATGCTCGTCCTTCTTCTCTTCGTGTTTCCCTTCAATCGTGATGAATTTGTCATCCGTCTTCACCACTATCTCTTCCGGGGCAAATTGCTGTACGTCGACGATCACCTGGTATTTATCGCCGTCCCTTTCTACTGAAGCCGTGGTACCAACAGCCTGTAAAGTGCCATTATATACTTTCAGTATTTGGTTTAAATTTGGATTTTAAGTAACTTTCTTTTTAATATATTGAATTCCGCACGATTTCCCATAGCAAAATAAAAAAATAAAAAAGATATTATTCATGGCATTGTTTCATTATTATTGTATTTTGAATGTTATCGCAACTTTATATATAATATAAAGATTTTTGCAAATATCGTTTAATTAACTTTTAAATAACTTTCCTTTTAACATGTTGAATGCTACAAGATTTCCCATAGCAAAATACAAAAAATAAAAATATTAAATTATTCATGGCATTGTTTCATTATTGCATTTTATTTTGAATGTTATCGCAATAGGTAACTTTATATATAATATAAAGATTTTTGCAAATATCGTTTAACTGACTGAATTAGTAAGTCCAATTTTGTTGGGGGTCACTAGTGACCCAAATGGCATTCAATGTGTTAGTAATTTCCAACTGACCTGGCGTTCGAGTTCTTCCATCATGTTTCTCCATGGACGGAAGTATTCTTTGAAGGATGGCATCGGTGGTGGTTCCCAGAAGTCTCTGGTACTCAAACGTTTGAAATGCTCTTCAAGTTCGCGGTGGTAACGGTCCATATCTTCCCACCAGTTGCGGAAGATGTCCCTCGACACTAGCGCCATCTTGATTGGTATTCGATCTGAAAAGTAAATACGCAATTACAACGTTACCGTATTGCCATTTATTATACCGAATATCAAATGCATTTCGTTACGTAACTACGATTACAACTGTATATGCAAACACACTGTATACCACAGCACAAACAAACGAAAACAAAACCTATGTACTCCGAAATAAGTTTAACCACCGGCTACGCAATCGGAACGAAGCCGGTAAATCATCACAACAACGGGACACGAACAAAATAATTACAAAAAATTCCCTTAATCACGTAGGAAAACAAGTCAATAACATCCTCCACGGTTCACTGTTTTTACGCATTTCGGTTCTATTTTTAGAAACCTAGGTAGCCGGAACGTTTCGAGTTGTATCCTCGAATGACCGTGAAACATTAAAAAATACTATTACATATATTGTGTATTCAACGAACAAATTTGAAAAGAGTCGAACGTGAAAAATTTTGAAAAGAATCGAACGTAGCTTATATTCGATGAACGATTATATTATGTTAATGATCGCAAAAAAAATTGACAAACACGATGCATACCTGTCTTTGAGAAAACGCTTGCTTCGTATCACACGGTACGAGTCGCAGAATTCTTTTCGCTTGTTCCTTGGTAGGAAATGATTTCGTTCGAAATTCGTCCGGAAAGCTGCTACGGAGTTACCGCTTCGAGTTGCACTTTCTGAATGACTGCGTAGTTCCGCGAGCCACCGACGTTTATATTTGGTTTCGCGCTCTTTTCGAGATTTTTCGTTACGTGCATGCGCAGTGCGCTCTTGTTTCGCATAATCCTCGCGTTATGTTGACACCCCCATCACGCCGGTACTATTCGTGTCCCGACGAATCGGCGATCGTTCCAGCAGCTTCGTACTTGTTCCTTGGTCGTGATTCAAATCACTTCGACTCCTTCCATGTTTTTCTGTGTACTTCATGATTTGCAACGGACAGAATTGTCCATGGGACATTGATCCTCTGTATCGTACCAACCTCTGAACGATTAATGGACCCCATGACTTATGCAAATGCAGACTTTTACAGGTCAGTTTCGGAAAATTGAATGTTTTGGGAGATATTTGGAAATTTAGGGTACTAAAGGATCTATTGAATTAATTTTATTAGATTTCTGTGAATGATTTCAATGCTTTTTGATGCTATTCTGATGTGAGAGAAGTCTGGGTCAGGATTGACCCATGCACCTTTGGGAAAATGTGAAATTTTTATACAAATTCTTTTTCAAGGTATTTTGTTTTTTATTGTTGATAGAGTATCGCGATTGCATTTGAAATGTTCGTTAATGATATAGTTCGTAAACTGTGGATTGCATATATCGATCCGGTGGAAAGCGCTACCGCTAAAACAGTTTCGGGATAGATGATCCGTACACGGAATAAGCGGTTTCACAATCTAAATATAAATTTCTGTCGGTCGCGTTTGATCGATGACGAGGAAATTTATTCTGGGACATTTGTTCGACCAGACATTGATTTCTACGGATGTACAACAAGAAATCGAAGAATATAGACGTTTCTCGACTGCACTCGACATGCGAGAACGTATCGGGGTGTTATCTATTTTGAATCTGAACTTTGGATCCGAAGGTATACAATATTCGAGCAGTCTCGTGGATACTGATCGCTAGATAATGTCGTTCGGAAGAAGTTTGCGCGGATTTTTTGAATGGTTAATCACTTGTTACAATTATCTTATTAATAACATATCTTGGAAACTCAATGAACAATTTATACTTAAAAATCACAGATTCAAGTCCCTATATATGGTATAAAATATTAATAAGATAATTGTACTTCTGGATCCTGAAAAATAAAATGTTTCTCAATGATAATAATATTTGAATATTTTCTACCATAACTCAATAAACAATTTATACCTAAAAATCACAGATCCAAGACCCTATATATTGTATAAAATATTCAAATATTATTACCATTGAGAAACATTTTATTTTTCAGGATCCAGAAGTACAATTATCTTATTAACATATCTTGGTAAATCAATAAACAATTTATACTTAAAAATCACAGATCCAAGTCTCTATGTACTGTATAAAATATTCAAATATTATTACCATTGAGAAACATTTTATTTTTCAGGATCCAAAAGTACAATTATCTTATTAACATATCTTGGTAACTCAATGAACAATTTATACCTAAAAATCACAGATCCAAATCTACGTACTGTATACAAAATTCAAATCTTATTACCATTAAAAAATATTTTACTTTTTTTCAGTATCCCAGAGAAACAAATTTGAATGTCTGGATGGTAGCGACCTCTACACAATCCCCTGTACACCTTGTATTAACTACAGCATCGATAAAGCAGGTTACTACTGTGATTATGTACGCGCATGCGTTTAAAAGCGCAGCAATTTCGAACTCCTTCGATAAATAATAGATTTATTTGTTTCAGACTACCACGTAGGTCACGATACTTTTGTGACTTTAAATGACAGAAATAAAATGGCAAAACATAATGGTGTGTAACATAATATAGTATAATGAGTGGGCTTCAAACACGCATGAGAATTGAATTTATTTATCAGGTATTGTATATATAGGTATATTTCATATGGCACATATTACACTTATCTCCTACTGATTAAACTATGTATATTAGACTCATTAAGTACAGGAATGCATCGGTGTATTGCTAATGAGATAGTCGCGTTTAACCTATTAACGCCCAACGACGTATATTCACGACACGTTCGTTTCAATCAGCAATTACTCGTTTATTTCCAAGAATCATTAAAAGATTTCGACATAAACATGCACAATTTAAAATAAGGAAGCAATTTTATTCTATGAATAAGTTGTACAAGTACAAAGCACAGCGAATCATCCGGGCGTTAATGGATTATCAATGGAAATAATTATTTCTCTTCGATATTTTATACTTATTTTCGCTTGCTAATCTAATTATTATCATTCTTAATATCCCTATTAATCTCAGTGTTAAATAGAAACGATCACTCGGATGACTTGACCGGAGGCAGAACCTTGTACGGATTCAGGATAGAATTCGGATCCATGAGCTTCTTCAAATCGTGCATGAGCTCGATCTCGGACGGCGTTTTACTCATGTGCAGGTACTTGGTTTTGGTGAATCCTATACCGTGCTCGGCACTCACGCTGCCCCGAAGACTCGAAACGTACTCGAAGATGAACGGCTGAAGTTGGGCAGCCACATCGGCGTCGTAGCTCGGTATGGACACTTGCGCGTGAATATTCCCGTCTCCTAATTCGCACAAAAGAAACAAAGACAAGTGAAATGTATCGGGTCGTCCCATAAATCGTACGGTGTTCGTATTTCTTCTATCTTTAAAAATTCAGATAAACAAACGTCTTTGCGATTTACCTACATTGTTCTTTATCTGTAGATTATCTGTATATTGTAATTAGATTAGAAAAGGTGTTCATCTGGATTTTTGAAAGAAATAGAAGAGAATCGCATTGTTTACGGGACGGCGCGATATAAAGAGAAGATAGCTCCACCATTTTTATCGCTGCCTGAGTCATATCGTACCTAAGTGGCCGTAGCCGGAGATCCTTATGACGCGTGGATCGCGCACGCGATCTCTGAGCACTTCGATCACCTTATAGAAACTCGGAAGCGGAATCGACAGGTCGTATTTAAACACGTAACCATCACGCAGGACTCCCTCGCTAATGCGCTCCCTGAGCGACCATATGTTCTACACAGAAAACAAGACAAACCATTTCGCAACAATTCATTTCTCTCTCAAAGTTACAGTACATTTTCCTCAATTTTCCTTCTATATGAAACTTGAGGTCTTCTGTGCAAAGCGCACAAAATGGAGCTTCTTGCGTTTACACGGAGACACTTTATCTCCGCGAGGGGAATGTCAAAGTGTAGACTCTAATCGTCGAACGTTGGTGGATAATGTGCGAGGAGAGACTAGATTCGAATGGACTCCCGCAGATTCTGACGAACGGCATTCGATCAGATGAATTAAGCATGCGTCGTAGATAACAATTATCCACTTACCGAGCGCGGAGAGTACTTTCTTCGGCGCCGAGGAAAGCGAGCGGTAATATTGACCGTCACACGTAAATAAAATATCAACGGAAAAATGCATGCGTTCGTTTCCTTGCAGAATATGGAATATGAAAATCGAATAGCGGATTCGAGGAAGCGTCCAATCGTATCACTAAAGGAATTTGTCATCAATTTCTGTCATCGATAATACTAAAAGGGTTAATAGTCATCGCACTTTCGCATGATTTTCACACGCACAAAAACATTATATCGTTTTAAATTCAACAGAAAGACAAGATCTTTCAGTTTTCGATAATAATCACTAGACAGTATACAAATTCAAATGTTTAAAATGATAATTAGAAAAATGAAATTGTTACAATGGAGAACAGTTAAAAAAAAATATAAAACAATTCTACCCAAAGCTGCATTCGGAAATCTCCCATGAACGCATAAATGTCTGAAATGCGCTAATGACATTCACGAATTCGATCGACCGATCGCAAGGTATCGATCTAATTACACGAAGATCGAGTTGAATCAAGTTTGTCTAAGGATACTTGAACTACTAACTTTGATTTTAGCAGGGTCCGACGTTAGCGTGCCGTCCTCGATGATGTCATCCGCGAGCGCTCGCTCCACGAAAGATGCGAGCTTCTCTTCGTCGTGTTCCGTCTTGCTCCCCGAGGTTTCCATGAGCACGTAGAAATCGTGTCCGTCAGGCACCGACGTCAACGGGCTCCTCAACCCGAACACGCTCAACGAAACGTCCAGCGACAGCTTGTCCATCATCTCGAACGAGGACAGTATCTCGCCGAGTTCGTTCTTCGCCAAGCAGAACGCCTTCAGGACCTTGTCGAAGCTGTTCAATCCTGGAACCGAGTCGGTTTCACGTTTTACTCCGTGGACCAACGAGCATTGAAATCTTTCCCCTTCCTCCCGTACCTAAAAACGCGACGTTCACCGCCCTGGGAAGCGGCGGACATTGAATCGCGACTTTCGTCACGACCCCCAGAGTCCCCTCGGACCCTATGAACATGTGCTTCAAATGGTAACCGGTGTTGTCCTTCTTCAGCGTGTTCAAGCAGTCGACCACCTTCCCGTCCGCTTTCACCTGGAAAAGATGTCCGCTCGAGACTGGAGAACAACTAGGACCCCCTAATCGAATTGTTCAAACGAGGCAACCGATGAACCGTACAAATGGAACCTCCATTTCTCAGAGGAAAATACGACTTCTACGCTGAACGAAGGCAGCGAAGCTGTACGCGATGATTAATTTTGGTGTCGGTGACAGACGCGTTATCGTTAAAGATTTTCAGCGCCTCAGGATTTCGTGAAACTCACTGCTTCGAGGCCCAACACGTTCCCGTGCAGATTGCCGTAGCGAAGAAGCCTCAAACCACCGGCGTTCGTCGACACGCAACCGCCGATCAAGCAGCTACCTTTGGCGCCGAGGTCAATCGGCATCATCAAGCCCACGGACGACAAATGATTGTCCAGATCCTCCAGCACGCAGCCAGCCTCGCAGGTCAGCACACCTGTCGTTCAACGATCACGGAAGAAAAGTGAAAATTGCGAAGATGTCGGCCGACCGCGCGTGACAGCGACGCCGGCCGCCTGCCTTTCTCCCGGTTTCCGCGATTTAATCGGCCGACCGATCCGTCAGACAGCGGACGCTCGCGAATCGTTTAACTACCAACCTGCCAGCTCGTTCGTGTCGATGATCTTGTTCATCAGTTTCATCGAGAGAACGATTTCGTCGAAGACCGGCACGCTGCCGCCGACGAGCCCGGTGTTGCCGCTTTGAGGACACACGGCCAGCCGATTCTCGTTGCAGTACCTCAATATGGCGGACACTTCCTCCGTGGTCTTCGGCTTTAAGACCAGATTGCTCTTCCCTGGAATTAATCTCGTGTCTACGGTCTGCTCCTCGAACGCCTCGAATCGACTCTTTATCAACGATACAGCGTCTACTGTCCGTATACGATCTGTTACGTCTTCGATCGAAATTCTTTTCTCGTTATCGCCGACGATCCGAGTAATCTATACCGTCACCATTTTCTTTTTACAGAATTCTACTTCTAACATTCCCATTGAAACCCAACGATCGCGACCGTGATTCGTCTCGAGGAAGTCGGAGGATCTTCCGGTGCACCGAACGCCATCTTGGAGTATCTCCATCTTGGACAATCGAGGATGGAATGAAAGGATTGGTTTATCCTAAGCTTTATCCTTACCTCTGACCATCTTCACGTAATCTATGTTGTAACCTTCGCATTCCTCTGGGTCCGAGATCACCCGGTTCCGATCGAGCACGCTCTCGAAGAAGGCTACGTGCTTGCCGTCGATCCTGGCGTAGGAGCCGCGCTGCACTTGGTACCTGTCGCAGGTGAACGCCGGTTTCGCGTTCGCCGAGAACGAACGGAATCTCGGGGCGGCGCTGAGCGCGCGGAACAATCTGCGGGAACTCATCCCTTCTGCAAAAACATTTCGAGTTCTTTTTGAGACGCGAGTGCCTCGCTGTCGAGGATCCCTCTTTTGCGAATAGAGGATCTCTTGCTCGCGTTACACGCACGCGAGAGATAAAGAGGGAGAGAGTAATTCCTCGAATAGTAAGTACGAATTCGCAAGCTTCGAACGCATCCTCGAGATCGATGGTCTGTTGACCGTTTCAGTTTTTCTGATAAAACTGGTCGTCGCCGGCCGCGGTTCGTATTCAACGATTTGGATAAATTTAGGTGTCCGGGACGGTATTCTCGGAGGGAAAGCATTGCTAATTGAAACGTGATATTTCCGTAATGCGGCCGGAGATCTCGCGTCGCGAATGTGGTCTGGAACGATCTTCGGCTTGAATGTCATTTCCCTTCGAATGGCGAACGTTGACGCAGAAGTAGTTCGCGGAAGACGACACTTCCGATGCAGTCCGAAAACTGCTGGTTTTTAATGATGGAAGGGTTCATTTTTAGCAGTGATTCACCGACAGGAATAGAATATTGCATGCGCGAGATATCACTGAAATAAGGACAGGATGTGCATTATAAAAGGGAAGAGGATATCTCTAAGAGGATTTGGAGATAAGATTAAATTTATTACTAATGGTAATACAATCCAATTATTTGCTCGATTTTGTCTTTCGAGAGCACACTGCGGATATTCTAAGATCCGTTGTTACATTTAGAGGACTTGTATCGAATTATACAGGACCGGGCGTGCTAATAATATACAACAATATTTATAGGAACCACCGAAATGTGTGCTGCACGAAGACGGTATAAATTCTACAGGATTATTCGTCACGGAATGAAGAAGTTCATTACTTTCCCCGTTGATTTAATTTACATATTCAAAGTCATCGATACATTTTCAACGGAATACTCGTCTACAGCGTCGACAGGATTAACATCCACTCTCCCTTCACCTCGATTGCTTACAAAAAATCTACTCTTCCACGTTCCTGTCGCATAGAAGACTGAATCTACTATACGAACAACAAAAACTTTCCTCGACGATCATAAAACAAGGAATACATTTAGACCAGTCTCTGAAAAAACCCAAGCTCATTTACGAATAACGAAACGGGTACCGCAGCGGGAAACGGGTTAACCGGCAAAATTAACATTTATCCTCAAGAAACGAGTTTCTCGCCTTGGGAAGATCGATTAAGGAAAAGATTGACGAACGTACGTAACGAACATCCATGATCTACGTTTAACCCTTCGCGGTCCAAGGTGTTGATTTTCCACTGCAAAATTTGCATGGTTTGATATACCAGATCACTTGTTTATTCAAGACCACCGGGGAACCAATGAATATATAATACCCCCATATAATTACAATACACACTGCAGATAATTACAGGAAAAATCGTTACATTTAAATCGGTAATTCGACGTTACAGTGAAATTAAATGCCGAGGCTGGCTCGATTGCAAAGGGTAAACGGGGACAACGAGGAGGAAAAAGCAAGAAAAGGAAACGGAGCAGCTACGATGGAGGGTGCGTGATTCGCCGGATTGGCAAACGAAGAGGGAATTTCGTGCCGGGTACGAGGGACCGTCGTCATACGCGGCGGAGGACCAGGCGTGGCGTAATTACGTGCCCCCGGCTGCTTCCATTTTCTACACGCTAATTCGCCTCTCCTGATCGACGGACATCGAATATTATAATCCACGGTGAATCTTGATGGGCAACTCCCCTCCTCCTCCACCATCGGCATCTCCTCCTCCTCCTCCTCCACCCCCTCCTCCTCACTCCACCTACTTCTTGGCCGCGTCGGCCCCCCCCACCCCGCCGCTTTGACGCGTGTGTGTCGTTCAAGAGGATTCGCGAGGAGGCGACGCGTGGTTGAATTACGATTCCCGCGTGAGGAACAGTGGGGAAAATAAGGTCAGGGGTAGAGGGGTCGAATGCGAGACGGGAGAAGATGGCCAGAGAAGGACGGATCGAACGGTGATGCAAATCCGTACCGGTCCGCCGGAGGGGGAAGAGGGACAACGCGAATGGGAAACAGAGAAGCCAACAAGAAGGCTAGAGTGGGAAGGGGACCAATCGTCGCGACGACTGAAACGCTGTACGATTCTTTCCCTGTGTGCCGTTCAGGCTTTCCGGGCGACTGTGTGTTCGGTACACACTCTATCGTACATATACATGCATACTCCTGTAGCTCTGTGGCTGAACACTCACATAGGATCAGGTACACACACCATGAACCCTGTGTGTGTAGAGAAACAGTGTATAGATGTAAGAATTGCCGAGCAAACCGGAATATATATGTACTATACATATATACACACCATATACATATACATACATACATACTATATCTATATATATATATATACACATGTATGCGTCATATAAATATATCTATATATGCATATCTATATATATACACATGTACTCTATATATATACAACCACATATAGATAGCGTAGCAGTGTCGGGAGAACGCATGCGCGCCACCGTCGACGGACCGCGAACGCTAATTTCTCAGTGGCGGCTCGAATCATTAACTTGTTACCTTGGCAACCCCGGTCGACCTAAACCATTGGCTGCCGCTTTCCCCCACCCTCCCCCTGCCGCACGCTCTATCGGTCGAACGAGAAACTAGCGTGCCTCGCCGCCACGCTTCCTCCCGCGAAATATATCGTAATTTTCCTAACCTTGCCGCGAACGGGACTATAGACTGTCGCTGTTTCACTCGAGCCACGCGCGCACACAGCCGCGCGGCCCCTTTCCGCGCTGGCGACGCTCGTGTACGTGTGAAACGAACGGAGAGAGAGAACGAGGAAGAGAGAAGGAGGGGGCGAACGAGCGAGAGGGGAACAGGCCGCCGTAGGGACGTGGTTGCTGGGATTGGCGCGGCCACGACTCTTCCTACCCTTCGACGCACCAGCGTCCTACCATCGTGTGTTTCTTTGTCGAAATCCATGACCGGCATTGGAAGATGACCGATAAATCGGATGCGTTTCGGGTTTCGATCTTTTCGAGTCCCTTTCTCCCCCCACGCTCTGCCTCCTTCTCTCTTCCCCTCCAGAGTTCTCTCTCTCTTTCTCTCACTCTCTCTATGGTTTAACACATCGATATTTTGAAAAACGGTGTGTACGTTGTAAGAGAAAATTATACGGTTTTTAAGATCGATCGAAAGTTGGGGAATGTTGATCGTTGAATAATAAGTTTGATATTTCGGGAGACGAATATTTGATTAGCAGATATTAAAATGTAGCGATCGGTAGAGATCTCGAGCCCGAGATCGGGAAGGAATCGTTACGACGCGACGTTACGGTGTTCCTCGATGGAGACGTGGTTTTACCGAGTCAAGCCGACGGCTGAGCATAGGAAATTCCTGGCGCTACTCGGCGATATTCGCGCGAACGATTATCGCTTTTCATTTTCTAGCCGAGAAAAAGAAATGTAGGACATACCCTCCACGGATTGGACAAGGATCCACTACACACCGCGGAGGACCAATCGCGAACGAAATTGTATTACGGGGTTTTGAGCAGGGCAGTATAAGCTTGGCTTAGAAACAGCTGTGACAGGGGCGTAGCCGGCGGTTGTGAAAGTGGGGCGGCAGGCCCACGGTATTTGAATATTCATTTAGAAATCTGCTGTGTCGTTGTTAAACATAATTCGACGAATTCGAAGCGAACAAATGCAATTTCAGTATCTCCATGGTTCCCTATTGAAAGTTCGACTATGACGAGGAAGAGAATTCTTTTACTAAATGTATAAACCTACTTTACATTGCAAAGAGTCTGTTAATAGCACTTTGTTTATTGCATTTTATAAATGAACGTATTAATCCTAAGAAATACACCAATGATTCGTGTATGAAACAAGAGATATAAAAATAGATTCTATAAGCTTAGAATATAGTAATACTCGATGATTTTTTAATAATTAAATATTTTCTTAACAAACGCTTTCGTTAGCTACAAACGTAGACTAGATGCTGATACCAAAGATGAGAAAATTCGAGGACGAAAATATTTCCATAGAATACTGTGAAAAGACGATTGCAAAATAATTTGAATTTCATGCAACGTTTCGTTTTACAAAGTCAGTGTATATAATACGGTACAGCGTGTAACGTCTGGGGTGAAACTTGTAGTTCGTTCGTCCCTGATGGTATCGTTGAGTATACTGCGAAATATTCCGCGGACTATAATCGCGTGTACATACGTGGAAAGTAGAAGAGACGTGTGGGTACGCGGTGTATGTGTGGGCCGATGGTAAGAGTATGAGTACCGTTACGGGGCATGCGCCCGTAGCCACCATGTCCAATAGCCCCGCCTTTCCCAGCGCAAACGATGCCTTTGGGATTTGTCCCCGCTGGACCAATGGGAGGCCGAGGATACCGTACGGGACGGGAGAGGTGAGGTTATAAGTGTCCCGATGGTGGGGTCTAGACAGGAAGAGGGGGCCGCGAGGGGAGGGAGGAACAGAGAGAAGCGAGGGGTTCCGTGGATCGTGTGGGAGCAGGGAGGCAGACAACGAATGCGACTACGAATGCTCACGAAAGCTCTCGACGTCAACGTATAACAAAAACTTTGTTTAAAATTCGTCCAGTATCGTTGTTCTCTTTTTCCCAAAGACGATTGTGCACGATAGAAACGTTTGGTCAAGTTCACAGTGAAATTTAGTGGCAGTGAGTGTCCACGGCGTGTTCGAAAACGTGATAGGTGTGACTGCGCAGTCGCCATGTGAGTACCTGAACAAGTTCTTGAAACTGTCCGTGCAGTCCCGTACACCTTCGATACCATTTAATCCCCCTGTAGATTCGCGTTATCCGTATCTTTTAAACGAGCCGCTGCCCGCCGCTGCGCCCGAGGAGTAACTTTTACCGGAACGTTCAATCGGAGAGCGGTCATCGAGTACAATAAACACGGTGTGTGTGTTATGTCCCGCCGGATCTTCGAACGTGCTTTATTTTGTAATCCAATATGTCGGCGTTAGGGACGCGCTGTACCGCGTATTCACCGAGACACGATTCCTCTGTTTCCTCCGCGTGTTACAGTTCCCCGAGTGAATAAATTGTGTATCGTACGAGCGCCCGCTGAAAGAACCGCGCGTGTTGTTATT